TGTGTATGTGTGTATATATATATATATATATATATAATGATTGTATGTATATATTTTTCAGCATGTTATGTAATTTTATATATAATAAACTGATTGTATATTTTTAAAAATCATTTTACATATAAATATAAAACCGTTTGACTATTTCTTCAAATTAAAATCTCATGTCTCATGCTGTTTTAACAGCACTTCAAAGATATTGTAATAAACAAGCTTTGTACATCATGGCTTCAGCTGTGCAGGCTAAATTTGGAATATTAATTGTTTTCAGTTTAACTATATGATACACAGACTGAAGGGGAAATCTTTGTCACCACAAAGAACATCTCATCATAAGTCATAAATAAGCCTCCTGTTTCTCTCATGCCAACGCTTGATGCGTAATGCATTCATCACTTTCCATTGACACAAGTAACAGGCTGATAGTCATCCAATTAACATCAGAATGATGCTGTTCGTGTATATCTGTTATTTCCTCTCTGTTTTGAAATTAGTTTTAAGTCAATTATAATTTATTCAGATATGTATTGCAATTACTTTTTTTGTTTTACATAAATGGATGAAGTCATACAGTGAAAACTTTGCTTATCATTATGTTAGTTAATTAGGTTATGAATTTGACGTTGCACTAAGCATATGCTAGAAAGTCAAAACGTTTTCACTGGTTCCTTATATTCCTGAGACGGATTATCAGACTGTCAACTGAAGGGCTCTCAGATGGTTAGCCAGGGATAGTCGTTATTGGATTGGATTACTCCGTAGCGACGGGCTCCTCCATAAGTAGATCTTGAGCTAGTAACAAACTGTAGAGAAGAAAGCCACAGGCTCCTCTGTCAAAAAAACAAATGTCTAATTCCCGAAATTGTGATTATTATACACTGAGTACTAAAATAATGCTGCTAACATTCATCTGTCCCTTCATCTGTTTGCTTTCTGCAGATTCCCTCCCCAGCTTGTGTGGCAGTCTGGAATCACCATAACTGATGAGGATCTACTGACTTGACCAGTTTTGGTTACATTTTTTTACTTTTGACAAGGTATGAAATAATGTTATGTCAAAAATGAAATAATGAACACAATATCACTCCAGGTTTTTAAATTTATTTTTATTTGATCAAATATAAGGGCATATTAGATGAATTTTGCGGTTTCTAAACGTATTCCTTTTTAACAACTCATAATTTTTTAGTCCCTCGCAGGTGTAACTATGTCTTTAAAAGAATAGTTCACCCACAAATGAAAATTTGCTGAAAATGTACTCACCCTCAGGGCATCCTTTTGTTTCTTCATCAGAGCAGATTTGGAGAAATTTAGCATTACATCACTTGCTCACCAATGGATCCTCTGCAGTGAATGGGTGCCGTCAGAACAAGAGACTCCAGTCCGTCTGTTAATGTCTTGTGAAGCAAAAAGCTGAATGGTTTTATGAAAAATAAATCCATCATTAAAGGTGCAATAGGTGATTGTCTTCAGAATTTTTTTTTGTTATGCTGGTTGAAAGTCTCTTCACATCCAGATAGCAATCATTAAGTTAAGTGGTCTAAATGTATTTATCTGTATTTATATATTCTGTGGAAGGCGTAGGACCAAGAAATGTTCGTCCAATCAAAAGGCTCGGTCCGAGCATTTCAAATTGGCTTTCCTACCTGCCTGTCAACGTATGTATCTGCATACCTCTGCGCACCCAGTTTGCGCAGACAGGATACATCATCAGTGCGTTCACGCACGCTGTGCAGACAGAGCGAGAATGGCAGACAAACATCAACAACCCGATCTTCCTTCCTGGTATTGTAGTACTTTTAAAGTTTTCTCACCGGTTAATGACACATGATGTAGCCCAGCATTTCCCAATTCCAGTCCTCGCGATTCAGATAACCAGCTCTTTAGAAGTGAGCTACGTGCATGAACTGTGTTTATATTCCTGAGACGGATTATCAGACTGTCAACTGAAGGGCTCTCAGATGGTTAGCCAGGGATAGTCGTTATTGGATTGGATTACTCCGTAGCGACGGGCTCCTCCATAAGTAGATCTTGAGCTAGTAACAAACTGTAGAGAAGAAAGCCACAGGCTCCTCTGTCAAAAAAACAAATGTCTAATTCCCGAAATTGTGATTATTATACACTGAGTACTAAAATAATGCTGCTAACATTCATCTGTCCCTTCATCTGTTTGCTTTCTGCAGATTCCCTCCCCAGCTTGTGTGGCAGTCTGGAATCACCATAACTGATGAGGATCTACTGACTTGACCAGTTTTGGTTACATTTTTTTACTTTTGACAAGGTATGAAATAATGTTATGTCAAAAATGAAATAATGAACACAATATCACTCCAGGTTTTTAAATTTATTTTTATTTGATCAAATATAAGGGCATATTAGATGAATTTTGCGGTTTCTAAACGTATTCCTTTTTAACAACTCATAATTTTTTAGTCCCTCGCAGGTGTAACTATGTCTTTAAAAGAATAGTTCACCCACAAATGAAAATTTGCTGAAAATGTACTCACCCTCAGGGCATCCTTTTGTTTCTTCATCAGAGCAGATTTGGAGAAATTTAGCATTACATCACTTGCTCACCAATGGATCCTCTGCAGTGAATGGGTGCCGTCAGAACAAGAGACTCCAGTCCGTCTGTTAATGTCTTGTGAAGCAAAAAGCTGAATGGTTTTATGAAAAATAAATCCATCATTAAAGGTGCAATAGGTGATTGTCTTCAGAATTTTTTTTTGTTATGCTGGTTGAAAGTCTCTTCACATCCCGATAGCAATCATTAAGTTAAGTGGTCTAAATGTATTTATCTGTATTTATATATTCTGTGGAAGGCGTAGGACCAAGAAATGTTCGTCCAATCAAAAGGCTCGGTCCGAGCATTTCAAATTGGCTTTCCTACCTGCCTGTCAACGTATGTATCTGCATACCTCTGCGCACCCAGTTTGCGCAGACAGGATACATCATCAGTGCGTTCACGCACGCTGTGCAGACAGAGCGAGAATGGCAGACAAACATCAACAACCCGATCTTCCTTCCTGGTATTGTAGTACTTTTAAAGTTTTCTCACCGGTTAATGACACATGATGTAGCCCAGCATTTCCCAATTCCAGTCCTCGCGATTCAGATAACCAGCTCTTTAGAAGTGAGCTACGTGCATGAACTGTGTTCCGATCGATATGATCCCTACACAGTGTTCATTGCTCCCTCCTCCCTGAGCGGGGGAAATCGGTTGAAGTTTACTTCACTTCAGAACATGGGCTGGAATTGGGAACCGCTGATGTAGCCTATTGTAGTAATGTTGTCTCTGGTCTGTGAGCGTAAATGCGTTCAGGGGCGTGGCTTTGGACGGCGATTGCAGGGAGGGTGGGACGTTCTCTTTCAGTGCTATCAGGCTAAAGTTAGCATTTTCCAAGATCTCCTACTGCACCTTTAAGGTGTTTTAACTTTAAACTGTCACTTTTGGAAGAAATTCCAGTCCACATTTCATAATAGTGCTTCCTCTAGTGAAAAAGTCCATCCCCTGTTGTACTTCCACATCAAAATACAACTGTTTAGACTGTTAGTTTTTGGCTGTTTTTGCTGGTAAACAGTGCTTGATCTGAGCATATTTCTCTCCTGATTCAGACGAGAGTACTCCATATTGTGGAGAAAACAATATTATGGATAGAGGACTCATATTTTAGCTAGAAGCAACGGTTTGAAGTTAAAATGTCTTGATGGATTTGTTTCTTGCAAACACCCTGCTTTTCACTTCACATTCACAAGATGTTAATTAATGGACTTGAGTCCTGTGGATTACTTGTGGATTATTGTGATGTTTTTATCAGCTGTTTGGATTCTTATTCTGACGGCACCCATTCACTGTAGAGGATCCATTGGTGATCAACTGATGTAATGATAAATTTCTCCAAATCTGTTCAAAAATAGCAAACAAAACTCTACATCTTGTATGGCCTAAGGGTGAGTAAATTTTCAGCAAATTTATATTTTTGAGTGAACTATACCTTTAAAAGGCTATGGTAGTACATTTTTAATAGACACATTATAAAATAGTAGTCCAAAAAAAATCCAGTTTAAGGACTATAATACACTCAAGGAGGGAAAACAGAGTAAATCCTAATAATCAAAAAAATATTTCTATAAATTTTCTCAATAGACCAGCTCCTGCATATCTTACAGAAATAACGTATGTTTAATATGAACACTTTAAATTAGGTAATGACTCATAATTTGACTGTGTAAAGCACAAATTCAGCTTAAAGCTATTTTGCATCCAATGAAAACCTGTTTGCCTCTATTATTTGTTTATTTATTTGGATCCCCATTAGCTATGCCCTAAGGCATTGCTAGTCTTCCTGGGGTCCACACAACACTTAACATTCATACATTATTACATACATTAAAAAATAAAAAGTTAAATACATTCTCCACATTCCAAAGCATCTGTATAAACATTTCTTCCACCCTTTTAATAGCTATAACACCTACTATATAAGAAACGTATTGCTTATTCAACTAATTCCTATACCTCAACCTCCTATAAGTACAGAATTCCAAGGTGTGCCTTTACCTGCCTTTTAAAATAAATTTTTCGTGTTATCCTAATTAATGACAATGGTAAAAGATTCCATGATTTCATTGCCCTAAATGTTACTGTACGTTTCAGAAAATTAGTTTTAGAATTAGGGAGTAGAAATCTACCATCCGTTGCTCGTCTAGTAGCATATTCATGTGACTGAACATTAGATTGTAATTGATTCTACTGATCCAATGGAGTTTTAAAATGTAAAATCTTCGATGTTGATAACAATATTGCAGCAATCATCCTATGTTCTCAGTATGCTTTGACCATGACAATTTATTATCCAGGGTGATACCCAATAATTTTGCTTCCTTAATTTGCTGAATAAGAGTTTTATTTATATATAATTTCTAATTCTAAATATTTATATATAAATCATCTAATTTGTTTTAGATGTATTTAGTATCAACTTATCTAAAATCCACTTTTCTATACTCTCCAACTCCTCATTCAAAATTATCTATTATCTGTTCTTATTCTAGATGAATTGGCCCAGACATATTCGATTGTATATGAGACACATTCGTGCAAGTGGAGAAATGGCTAAGTATAGCCTAGAATTTATTTGCCAGTGCCTGTGCTCCAAAATGTGATTCATAACATGTGGCTGATCAGAGGAGTTTAATTTTAGAGCACGCACAAGTGAAAGAAATAAGTTAGGGTTAATATAATATTTTA